GTTGTAAATTTTAAATATATATATATATATATTTTCATTTTACACCAAAATATGATATATTACGATGTAATACTTTATTATTATTAGTTGATTTATTAATTTATTGATTTATTGTACTGTTTTAATATTCCCAAACTATGTTTGTGTATATTTCATTTTTATATCAGGATATAATTCATCATGATATGATATTTGATTTTTAAGTGAATTTTTATTTACTAATTAATTGATATATTATATTGTTTAATACTCTTAAAGTAAAATGTCATTTTACTAAATTTATTACCTTATTCAACCTTTTAGCATGTTATATTAAAATAGGTTTTTATTGGGTATTTGATTTAAAATCTAAATTTTGTAATTTTTAGCCTACATGAATCATGTAATCAATTTTTTTTGACAATTAGTCCCTATATATCTATATATATCTATATATATATATATATATATAACAAAGATATTTTCATTTTCTTAATTTTTCTTACTTTGAATTCTTCTAATTAATTAAGTAATAATTGGTTTATACTCAAAAGAGGTAATGATGGTAGTTTCATTATGACATACTTCTTCCTACTTATGTTTTTTTTTTTTTTTGGTTATTTTTCAATAGTTTTTTATATTTTATATTTAAATTATTTATCTTTTGTATTAATATCTTGAGTTTGTAATGAAATTTTTAATAATTTTTTATGTTTATCATGCTGTGACTGTTGGAATATTTTGGAGTAAGGTTAATACTTAAAATGATATTGAAAATATTTGATTGAAAATATTTGATCTATAATTTAAAAGGTATATAATTTTATTTTTTGTAATTTATTTTTCTTATTTTATCTTTATTTTTGTCATTTATCTCATTACTAAATACTATCTATTTAACAAAAGTTTTATTCATATCTTTAGAAGTTACTATCTCAATTTTGTAATACTATTATTAACTTTGGTTATGAAAATTTGATAGTTCCTGCTAAAAGGTTTTCAAATAAAACAATGAGAAACTGGAGACTGAGATATCTACTACAAAACTAAATAAGCATATAAAACAAGAAAAAAAATTTTAAGAGTTGCCAATAAAATCCAAATAAACTTTTATCAAATAAGTAATTATTATAGTTCATAATAATAAAATTCAATGGTTTAAAGAGTTGTTTATAAATTCACGAGTGTAATTCATACTAACAGATCTAGTAATCATGGAAATTGAAGTGCCAATTGGTCCAACTCGATATGAGACATGCATTTCAAGTCTTCGTAGCTACCTATTATTTGCTTATATATACAATAATTTGTATTATTTGAATACTAACATCACAATAACAAAAAGTTAAAATAGATTTATAAAAAAATGTCCATTTACTTTTGTCACGGCCCAAACTGCTGGCCCATGACCGGCACTAGGTGCTTAACTCTAGTCTGCCTCTCAACAACACACAACATACTCAAAAACCAATAAAACATATATATAAACATCTCATACTATTTAAATACAATACCAGAATCTTATCTAAGTAGTAAAGGAGTTCTAGAGTACAAACAGGTAAGCAAAAGAGCATACCTATACATCAATTAAATCTGGAGACAACGGCTCTGACCCAGCATGCTACTCGAGAACAATAACCCAAATTTGGAATATCTATAAAATATGAGTCGCAAAATTTAGTGAGTACAGACAATACCTAGACTATGCATATTGGGATATGTATCATACCACAAGTCCAAAACCATACATATATATATATATATATACAGTGAGCAGTATCATCATCAAAACATATATATGTGGGAGTACAATGATCACTGAGACTCCAACCTCGATCGGAGGAATTCTGTGCTTCACGATTAGGCCTAACACAGTCATATACCACGCTCCCGATCGAGAGGTATCCTCCATCTCACAACTGGAGCAACACATCACGTCCACTAGGGCAACCAAATCACACTCCCGAATGAGAGGCATCTTCTATGTCATGACTGTAACATCACGTCTACTAGAGCAACCATACCATGTTTCCACTCGAGAAGTATCCTTCATCTCACGACTGTAGCATCACGTCCACCAAGGCAATCATATCATACTCCCGGTTGAGAAGTATCCTTTATCTCATGATTGTAGCATCACGTCCACCAGGGCAACACGCTCCTTAGAGCAACACAGTCCAGTGCATCACACGACTCCCAACATATCAAGTCAAACAGATATACATACGTATACAGTCCAAAATCTCAAAACTAATATAGCTCATTGACAGATAAAAAATCATAAAACACATATCCTAAGTGCAACATATGACAAAAATACAGTTTCTAAAACTATATGATTATCATGCTAGAAAACATAGTATGACAAACACATACATAGAAAGGGTATCATCATTCACAATACAAGAGCTGAACTAAAAAAGAAGTCCCGATCACCCTCACCGACTCACTGGTCTAAGTGCACCTCCACTGATGTATCTGTAACTAAAACCACACAAAACCATTGCCATCACCGAAACCAACAAAATAAATAGGCTTGATAGCCTAAAACTAGGCTCAAATCCCATCTTGACACCCCTGACACGTATCCTAAGGCACACTACCCAACACCGGAACTCACATGACTCATGAACATTCATTAATTTTACTGAACAACTCTCAAACAATAGAGACCCAGCCTCCAAAACCCTCGAAACATAGTGAACCAACCTCCAAAACCTCTGAACTGACCTAAATCGGTCTAAAATTACTTTGAATCAAACTGAACCAGCCACGAAACCTGCAAAATTGGATTTAAAATGCTCAAAAACCCCAAGAATAGATCTAAACCAGTCAAGAATCGCCCAAACCAAAGCTAAACTGACCACCAAAACCCCTGAACTGGCTTGAACTAGGCCTGTTCAACCAAAAATACCACATTTTTGGTCGAACCGAGCCTCCCCGAACCCACATGGTTCAATAGATCTTATCCTCCTAAATTCATAACTGGTTTAACTTCCCAAAACCAAGTTAAAAGACCACTGAACCGAGCGGTCAAATCTACTGGCTGGTTTAGTCAAAACATCATTTTCTTTTTACTTACTAGCTCGGCTTGCTGGCTCAACTCACTGGCTTGACTCACCAGCTCAAGCCATTGGCTCAGGCTTAGCCCACCGGTGTGCCCCAACCCAAACCCTTTAGTAGCCCGACTTGAGCCCAATAAGGACTGGGCCTGAATCGGCCTAGTCCAGCCCTGCTCGAACTGGCCAAACTTGGCCTAGACAGCCTGGCCTTGCCCAACCAAGCACTCGGACATGTCCCAAAGACACGAAACCCCTAGACCCGGTTATAGTGTCCAAGTCTGTAACGACCTGGAACCCAAAACTCGAACAAAACCCCGAAATCAACAGCATACCTTAAAAATCCACTCGAGACTTGAAGAGCTTAACTAGGCGACCCTACCAACTGGTTTAATTGGAATAAAAGTGGCCAATTGAATCAGAAAATCCAGCAACAACCTCGGTGGACTGCGAAGCTCCGTCGGCTGGAAAAATAGCAAAATACCCCCGATCTCTCTCTAGATTGCCCAATAGGTTGAGGGCAATAGCTATATGTGTCCTTACACACACAAAAACCAGATTTTTAAGCAACAATTTAACTGAAATGATTAAAGTATGGCCTGCACAGTATTTGGTCCACTATTGGACTGAACTAGCAAGCCTATTTACAAATCAGTCCCTTTTCTTTTCTATCTTCATAGTTCAAACCCCAGTTTTTTTTAAAAAAAATTATGCAAACAAGCCCTTCAAAATTACAGACCTACCCCCAAAACTGTTAATTTGTGCACCTAGGCCCCTTAAGCCTAAAAAATCCCAAAATTTAAAATAATAGGGTCATAACAATTTTAAATAAATTAAATACAAAACTATAATAGAATTAAATGAGAATGATCAAATTTTATATAATATATACTTTTAATATTTGGACACTTGGGCATTTTGGGCCTTGATTTAATTAGGAAAATTGAAATATCTCATTCACGGGAGACTTGTAACAATGGTAAAAGCAATTTTTATTGACCCCTTAAGCGATTTTCACTATATGTCATTTCATTTTAAAATAATTTAAGAATGCTTGATTGATTTTAAATTTACACTGTTAAATTTACTTCTTTCTAAGTTATAGGCCAAGTACTATAGATTGTAACTATTTTGATAATTATATTAGAGATAAGAAAATTCAAAATGCATTAAATTTATACATGCACATGTCTGCCAATATTTTTAAAAATTAGACTGTTTATTGAATTAAAAAGGTATTGACTCATGATTCACCAATTCGACCTTTCATCTAATCATTATTCAACTGTAATTGGACCATGACAACATAATTACATAACATATACAAAAATTTAAAATTTAAAGAGGTAAAACTATTAATTGAAGAATATAGGGATTTGATTGAAGAGAAAACTAATTAAAGGTTTTACTATACACAAATTACTTTCATGTGTAAGGATTGAAAATAGATGCAGAATAAAATCGAGGGCCTGTTTAAAAAAGAGCAGTTACAAATTGAAGGGACTAAGGTGCAAAACTAATAAAACACATGGAGATCACTGGTTATCATCGTCGTTATTTTGAAATCCTGGTCGCTCGGACTTCATACTCAAATGCCCAACTGTGTCGACCGTGAGACTTTGAAGCCAATAGGAGTTTTTGCTGGAGTCGGACTCGTTTTCATCCTCAAGCCTAGAACCCCCCTCAACTTGAGAAGCCCTAACTGGCGAAGATGCAGAAACGAGTGAGAGTCTTGCAGACAGAGAGAGAGAGGATCGACGGCTTTAACTCTTGTTGCCGATTGGCAATGGCGGAAGCAAAACGTCGCCAGCGCAGGAGGAAATCGCAGAAACAGAAGGGCCGGGGGCGATCGCGATCAGAGAAGAACAGTGACACTGGCGAAAGAGCGCGCACGGAGGAGCAGAGAGAAGCTTGCAACTGAAAAAGTAATTACTTTCCCAGTGTTCTGAAATCAGCAGAAATATGTCAAGTCTGCAGATGTCAAAAATTGGTGCTTTTGCGGTAACCAAACTAATGGCAGCTACAAATTTCAAAACAGGTGCTCATCTTCGCTCTTGTACAAGCCCACGGATTCATTCTAATTCTGGAAACCCTAGTCGAGTGACCCAATTGAGTCCCAAATCAAGACCTCATGGTCTCCAAGATGCCCTATGTCTTTTCAATCGGATGCTCCTGACGAGACCTTTGCCCTCCATCTTTCACTTACCCAGGTGTTAGTAGCCATTCAGAGAAGGGGTCATTATGAGACAACCCTCTCTCTTGTTGAGAAATTGGAATTCCTTGTTGTCCGGCTAGATTTTTCTATAATGAACATAAAAATTAACTGTTACTGCCACTTGAATCAAGTGGATTTGGGATTTTTATTTTAGGTGGCCTTTTCAAAAGTGGTTATTCAGCAAGTGTGGTGACTTTCAATACATTGATGAATGGACTTATCTTGGAGGATAGAACATTTGAAGCCATTGAGCTTTTCAAGAAGTTGACGAAAACTAGAGAGATTGTACCTGATTCTGTTACTTACGGAATCATAATCAATGGGCTTTGCCGAACAGGTAACGTTGACAGGGCTGTTAGGTTGTTGAGAGTGATGGAGGAAACAAATTGTAAACCTAGCGTGCTAATTTATAACACAGTTATCGATAATCTTTGCAAAGATAGGATGATAGATGAGGCTTTGAACCTCTTTGCGGAAATGAAAGAAAAAGATATTTGTCCAGATGTTATCACTTATAATTCTTTGCTTCATGGTCTTTGTTGTTTAAGTGACCTAAATAGGGTTGAATGGATCTTGAGGGAAATGCTGGATCTTGATGTATATCCGGATGTTATCACATTCAGTGTGCTGGTGGATGCCTTTTCCAAGGAAGGAAAGATAAAATATGCAGAGAGTATACTCAAAATCATGATTCAAAGAGGTGTCTCTCCAGATGTCATTGCATACAATACGCTAATGGATGGATATTGTTTGCAAGGTCAAATTGATGAAGCAATGCAAGTACTAAATACCATGGTGGATGAGGGCCTCGAGCCTAGTGTTTATACGTATAACATCCTGATCAAGGGTTATTGCAAGAAGATGAACATTGACAATGCCATATGTCTCCTTCGGGACATGTCCAAGAAAGGGTTGAAACCTAATACTGTAACTTTTAACACAATCATACAGGGAATGCTTCAGGTGGGTAGATGTGTTGAGGCACAAAAACTTTTTCATGAGGTGCAAACTTTTGGCCAAATTCCAGATATTTATACTTACAACATCATGTTGGATGGCTGATAAAAAATGGGCATATGGCTGAAGCATTGTCATTATTTTGCATAATAAAGCATGAGGGGATGCATCTTGGTATTAGTACTTACAACATCCTAATTGATGGATTTTGCAAGGATGGAAATCTTGATGCCGCACGGGATCTTTTCAATGACCTTTCTTCCAAAGGATTACTTCCTAATGTTTGGACGTACAATATAATGATATTTGGCTTTGTGAAGGTGGCTTGTTTGATGAAGCCAAGGAGTTGTTCTTGAAAATGAAGGAGAGTGGTTGTTTGCCAGATGAAGTTACTTACAATACTATTGTTCGATGGTTTATTGAAAATGAGAAGTACCATGAGGCATTGCAACTACTTGAATAAATGATTGCAAGAGGTTTTTCACCACAAAACTATACTTTTTCTTTGGTTGTAAGTCTGATCTCGACCACAGTACGTGATCCTGGATCCTGCTCTCCAGGAGATGGTTAAGAAGTTCTTGCCAAGTGATAAACAAAGAATTTGAAAGATGTAAAGTTTTTTAATCTATAGAGGAAAGATTCATATATACTTTATATCCATAACTCATTATTGTGAAGGTAGGTTTTTTTCTCGTTAGTTTTTATTTTCTTTATTTGTGATATTTCCACTTAACTAGTCCATTTGTAAGTCATGCTGATTTGTTCATTTCTTGACAACCCAACAATGAAAAATAGGTCCATTGACTTTTTACTCATCTCACTTTCTGCTTTCCTTTATTGCTTTAGTTTTCCTGTATATGGATATGACTTCTGCTCGTTTCGCTGGCTCCTTCAATGGCAGTAAATTGGTCAAGTCTTTCTTATATTTCTCTGTAATCTCTTTTATTGAAGGGAGTTGAATGAATAAAAAATTATAATACTGTGAATGATTTGTCATAATGGACGAGTGATTAACAAATGTTTACCTTAACCTATCTAAGTTTTAAAAATCTCTGCTTTACATTTATATTTGTCATTAATATCTACAAAACTACATAATTAAGCTTGGAAAATATGTCAATTTAGTAATGGGGTCTTATTCTTGTTATGGTTTAAGTTCATTGTCTGAAGCTCAAAATTACCTAAAGAAGAAATTCGAGCATCATGCGATTGAATCTTAAGCATTGGATTTGCTGATTGTCTGCAAAGAAAAGCTAAGACAGCCATAGTTCTCACATCTTGCTCCTTTCTATTGTTCTCAATATTAGAATTGGCTTTACTGGTTTTGGACATATATAAATATCCTATTTTTGCAATTGTTTAAGTTCATTGTCTGAAGCTCAAAAATTACCTAAAGAAGAAATTCGAGCATCATGCGATTGAACCTTAAGCATTGGATTTGCCGAAGTCTGCAAAGAAAAGCTAAGACAGCCATAGTTTCTCACATCTTGCTCCTTTCTATTGTTCTCAATATTAGAATTGGCTTTACTGTTTTGGACATATATAAATATCCTATTTTTGCAATTGTTTAAGTTCATTGTCTGAAGCTCAAAAATTACCTAAAGATGAAATTCGAGCATCATGCGATTGAACCTTAAGCATTGGATTTGCCGATTGTCTGCAAAGAAAAGCTAAACAGCCATAGTTCTCACATCTTGCCCTTTCAATTGTTCTCAATATAGAATTGGCTTTACTGGTTTTGGACATATATAAATATCCTATTTTTGCAATTGTTTAAGTTCATTGTCTGAAGCTCAAAATTACTAAAGAAGAAATTCGAGCATCATGGCATTGAATCTTAAGCATTGGATTTGCTGATTGTCTGCAAAGAAAAGCTAAGACAGCCATATTCTCACATCTTGCTCCTTTCAATTGTTCTCAATATTAGAATTGGCTTTACTGGTTTTGGACATATATAAATATCCTATTTTTGCAATTGCATTTTTTCCACTCTTTCTTTGTTGAGGTGGGTGGGGAGAGTGGAAGAGGAGTTAGGGATGTGCACAGGTCAATTTGTTTTTAGTTTGGGATGGGAGAAAGTTTGAAACTGAGCCAATTAAAAAATCAAACCTAATAAAATGGAGAAGAATACTGATGAAAGGAAGCTTGTTAAATTGTCACTTTATAATGCTATGGAAATAAGTTTATTGCTGAAGTAATATTCTGAAACAAAT